ACCACCGAAACTCCTGCACCCACCTCAGCAGCAACTGTGGCGGCTACATCTGAACCCACCACCGAAACTCCTGCACCTACTGCAGCTCCAACTGAGGCGGCCACACCTGAACCCACCACCGAAACTCCTGCACCCACCTCAGCAGCAACTGTGGCGGCTACATCTGAACCCACCACCGAAACTCCTGCACCTACTGCAGCTCCAACTGAGGCGGCCACACCTGAACCCACCACCGAAACTCCTGCACCCACCTCAGCAGCAACTGTGGCGGCTACTCCCGAACCTACTATTGAGACACCAGCGCCCACCGCAGCTCCAACTTTAGCGGCTACACTTGAATCCACCACCAAAAATCTTGCGTCCACCGCAACGTCAACGATTGTTGCTACACTTGCACCAGCCAGTGAAAATGCCGTAATCTCCCCAGCACCACCTGCAGCCATCACGTCAGAACCCTCCAGTGTGTTCCCTGGATCCACTCCAGCTCCAGTGTCAGCTGCTACGTCGACTACTGATAGTCCAACCTCTGCGCCAACTTTAGCACTTGTTTCTTCACCAATATCTTCAATCGTCACGACGAATGTACCTGTCTCGACGGCAGCACCAACGCAAGGTCCAAACAGCACGACGTCTTCCGAGTTTGCAGCATTGCTGGACTCAATGGACACGGACGAAAATGGATTTGTCGACTTGGGGGAGGTCGTCGAGTATTATCGCGTGGAGAAAGAAGCCAAGATCGCCCAGATTCGGCACGCAGCTGACGAAGCGGTGACGGCCGTGAACGCCAAGTACTCTCGGTATTTCGACTGCGTCACACAAGGTTACCAAGCGGTGCGTTTGCCCTTCTCCTATCTTCTCGTTCACACATAGTATCAACGAATATTCTATCGATGCCGTAGGTTGTCCAAAGCCGTGACATTAGCTCTGCGGACGAGCTACAACAAGTATTGCAATGGGCCGACAATGAGTGCAGCAAAACCACCCCCCAACCTACATCCCCTTCGGACACGTACACCCGCCAAGAGATTGTCCAATACGTGCAAAACATCACACATTCGCAGCAGTACATTCAGTGCACGGAGGCTGTATTGGACAAGGTATAGTGTATCGACCAGCACTTGATTGTCATGTGGACGTTTGTCGGCTATGTAGTTCCCTGAGGGCTACAAGTTTACGAAGAAAGACGTGGACAGCATTGCGTTGACGGTGCAAACCAACTGCTTGGTGGCGACGACTCCGACGCCAGCATCGCCATCCCCCACCAGACAAGCGCCGACCAAGGCGGAGATCTTGACCTATGCCAAGGCCGTGCTGGAAGTGCTCAACAACGAGACAGAGCCAGTGTCGAATGTGCAGCTGCACGCGTTTGTAAAAGCTCATGAAAACGTCATGACGATGAAGATCACCAAAGTGTGGTACAATTCCGACACGGACCGGCAGCAAGCGCTCGATTTTGTGACCAAGTTTTACCAGCGCGTGGATAAGTGCCTCGACGCGGCCGTGGTCGTGGTACGTTGCTCGATTCGTCGCTCAAACGTGGCTCATGTCGTGTGGTTGTTGCTGCGATAGTTTGGGGACAACGGCACGATTGCCGTGGCCACGCTGCCCTCAGTGTACGCGTGGGCCAGCGGTATCTGCGTGAGCGACTCGAGTAAGGACTTTGTGGACGCAGACCTCAACAAGAACAACGTCGTGGACGAGTTTGAGGTTGCCCAAGTGATCGCCACCGCAAGAAACCAGCAGCTCAGCCAGCTCAAGCGAACGACCAACTCATCCGAATATTTGCGGTCGTTTTTCTCAATCCGCGAAACGTACGACCACACGCTCGAGTGCGCGCACGAGGGTATTTCCCAGGTAACGTCACTGTACTATTGATGCTGTGTCGTTCTCGTTTTCCAAACATAATGTCCGCTTTGGATTGTAGGTCGGAAATGCTGTCGACCGAACCCTCACCCGAGAGCAGTTCTACGGCTACGAAGCGTGGATGACTCGGTCCTGCTCGAACGTCGTGCCCGACGTGTCACTGCACGGCGTCCCCTCCGCCGTCGACATCCAAGGGGCATGGAACTTGACCACTGCGCATGCCATCATGGGGCAACTGAAAGCGAAGGACTTGGAGCTGGCGCTGGCGTCGGGAACGGGGGTTGCCTTGCACACGCAGTTCATTGAAGATCATTACGGGCTCTTGCGAACCTGCTTTGACGCTTCGTTTGACGAGGTACCATACCCGATCTATCCTTTGAAGAATCGACGGCCCATGAATGCACTGGACGTAGAGCGGTGGAACGCCGTACAACACGACGTTGGAACGTACGCGCTTGTGCCTGGATGCCACGGTGCCGTCCACGATGCCCATCGAAGTGGTCGTCTCCAGAGCGGACTTCCAAGCGCTGCTGCAGCAGTTGTTTGCGCCGACATTGGCTGAGCTGGACGACGAAATTGCCAAAGCCCAAGCTGTCGTCGACGGACTTCGCGCCAAGAAAGCCGCGCTGCAAGTGTGCATCCGCAAGGCGGTGGACGCCGTCGCGAACGGCCAAGCAACCGTCCGCCAACGCGACCTCAACACGGCGCAGCAGTGGACCAACCAGTGCGTCGCGTCGTCACCGCCAAAACAATAGTCGCTTGTCATTCAGTCTATAGATAATATCGTTGTTGTAACTTGGATGGGAATAATATACTTACTACACTGTACATGCATTTTGTATCAGCTATATTTATGGTTTTGAACGCTCGTTGGCCAACTTGATGCCATCAAGATCTGGCCAAGTCGAATCCAAGCTAGTGCACGGTGGTCGACATGCTAACTACTAATACAGTAGTACCGTGTTATAACTGCAGCTCAAAATGGCTTAATCGTGAATGTTGTCGAGAATAAGCATTCGTTATATAGTACTACGTAATACATACTAACATATACAGTACTCTGTCAACGATTTTATGAAGTCGTCTATATAAATAAATATGTGCAACAACGAACGTTATGTTGTTATTACGACTAAATATAGTGGTACCAAAAAATACACCTCACTGATTCATGTCCACGAAACCGACCCACGTGCCAACCATATTATTGTATGAATGAATGTTATGTGAGCTCCTTTTGACGCAATTCTTCGTCGTGTTTGGTTTTGAGCGCCCGGATCTGCGACAAGTGGAGGTTTCGCAGCACCGCCAGTGACTTTTGCACTTCGGCCATGGCGGGCGTGTTGTTGGCCACGCGGAACTCTGCATGCTGCTTCTGCAGGGCCTGGATCTCCTTGAACTGGTCCTGCATCAATCGGTGCATGTGAAACGACTGCTCGAGCTTGAGCTGGCTCGACGCGGGCAACTTGACTTGCGACGGAGTGCTGAGCATCGCCGCCGCGTCCGACGACACGAGCGCCTCCAGCGGCACGTGGTGCACAGTGTTGTCAAACATGACGCCATACAGAAACTGGCCTTTGGCTACTGGCACGGAGATTACCGTGCCCTACATTTCTCCAATGAATCATCCATATAGTGTGATGAAGTGGGTACTGTGTACCTTGCGCCCGAGCAAATGGCCCAACCCGTACGCCGCGAGCTTTTCCGTGTGCTGCATGCATAATGAGACTCGAGAGAAGGAATGCCAGGGGAAGTGAGCTCATTACATGCACAATGACGTCGCTTCCCACGGAAAAGATTGCCTGGCCGTCGGACAGGGACTTTAAGTGCACGGGTTGAGTGGGAGGTTGGGTTGTCGATTTCGTGAGTTTCGGAGCGAGTTGCTTGCTCATGGCGTCGTTCATGGGTAGAATATTCTGCTGCAGCTTGGGAGGGGGCCCCACGGTTTGTCCCGCCACGGGAGGCTTGGCTGCATGCATCTACACACCACACATGAGAACGTCAAGTGGGACGCGATGGGCACTGATGTACCGCAGAGGATGTGGACTGCATCATGCCAGATGTCGAGGTCGGCATATTGGAATACGGCGAGAACGTCAATTGAGCTCGTTTCGAGCGATTCAACACCGCCTCGTAGCCGTCGGTTTGCACCAGCGTTCTTCGCTTGCGTGCATACGTTCTACGCCACAACATCATTTGGATGAATTCACACAGCACCAGAAGCAGCATCGAAAGGACGCACCGCTGCTGCTCAATGGCCGAGTTGAAGCTCAGGCAATCGGAAATACTCTCGTAGTACTGCGCCGCCGACGTTGGTTCATACACCTTCCGCTTCGACTCCATTGTGTTCACGGTGGAAATATCACACCCGGATAAATTACCACTATTATCCGGATTGGCGATTTTGGTAGTAATACTAGTAGTACCATAGGAAGTTCAGAATTAACCGGAAGTGACTTGCGGTCATCGTTTGTTGCTGATCCCCTGACTTGATATGGACGGCACGAAGCTTGTTGGGGTCATCGGCGATGAAGACACGGTCACGGGGTTCATCCTAGCTGGCGTGGGGCACCGCTCGCCTGAAGGGACGAACTTTCTGGTGGTGAAGCAGAGTACGTGGCAATCGACGTGATGGCTGGAGGTCGTGATGTGAATGTCTTGTGTGCATATGCATGTAGATACGCCCATCTCGGTCATTGAGGACGCTTTCAAGCGACTGTCTACCCGCGACGACATTGCTATTATTTTGATCAACCAACATGTACGGCCTTGAGAGGGTGCATGTTAACCTCATGCACGACCTTAGATCGCGGAAGAAATCCGCCATTTATTGAACGCTTACGACAAAACGATCCCCACGGTGTTGGAGATCCCGAGCAAGGACATGCCATACGACCCAGCAAAGGACTACATCATGAAGCGTGTCAACTTGATGCTCGGTGAAGGCCAATAGTCGAACTAGGTGCAAACTTCGTTGTTAACACCGATGTACAGTGTAATGAATGGGACACTAGTGCATCGATCGTTTGCTTGCCCTTCCTTGTGCAACACATACACACTCAACCTGAGATACAAATCCATATGACATGTCCTTATACAACCAAGCGAAACGAAGACCTGGATGACGGAAACTCGTGAATTACAAGCAGCATGAAGCGGTATATTAGATAATCGTCCACATTGCATGCAAACTTAAAATATAAGTGAATGCAAAACTAAGCTGGGAAGCAGGGCCACCGCAGCACACGCGCGCCGGTCGGGGGCTCACTGCTTCAGCACAGAAAAGTGCCGCACTACATTTACTTCCGCTTTTGGAGGGTAGCCGACAGCCAGTCCAAGCCTTCGTACAATCCGTCGCCAGTGGTGGCACAACACGCTTGGATGAACCATTGGCGGTGGCGGAGGCCATGCAAGCCCAACTTGTCGGTCATTTCCGCGGCGCTCATGGCGTTCGGCAAATCTTGCTTGTTGGCAAACACGAGCAGGATCGAGTCTCGGAGCTCGTCTTCGTTCAACATGCGGTGCAGTTCGTCACGGGCAGCGTCCACGCGATCTCTGTCGTTGGAGTCGACCACGAAGATCAGGCCTTGTGTGTTTTGGTAGTAGTGGCGCCACAACGGGCGGATCTTGTCTTGTCCACCGACGTCCCACACTGTGAAGCTGATGTTCTTGTACTCGACCGTCTCGACGTTGAACCCGATGGTGGGGATCGTGGTCACGACTTCGCCCAACTTGAGTTTGTACAGGATGGTGGTCTTACCGGCGGCATCGAGACCCACCATAAGGATACGCATCTCCTTCTTGCCAAAGAGGCGTTCAAACACGCGCGAGAATGCCATACCCATGGTGGCCCGAGTTGTTTAGCTGACTGGAAAAAGAAAACTGAACGTGTGGAAACCCCCGTTCGCTTTTTTACACGGGTGGAAAATAATATATGACAAAATGTATGCAATTCTAAACCACGGTCAAAGAGGGGGGCCAATCACATCGCAGGATCGCCCAATCCGCAAATCAAATCACGCCACCACACTTCCAAATAAGTTTCCGTTTCACAAATTTTTATTCGACAAATGTTTGAGGTGGAAACCAGCGATTGGTTTCTCTCGACGAAGAACATGGAACCAACGCTCCATATGATGGGGCGTTTCAGAAGGATCCAAGTCGAGATCTCCGGCGGCAGACCTGGTGTAGACATGTGCTTGTAGCGTTCATTACCTTGTGTAAGGAAGGCCACGTACAGTGTCCCCCTGGGGGCCATGTACTGATGTGCATCTACGTGTGGACAACAAGCCGATCGTTTGGGCCACGTACAATAAGAAATACGATGACTAGGTGGTTCCAACACACATGCACTTCATTCTACATATCCCAGTCCCAGTTGTCTCCTCCTTTGGGCTTGGACGCGAGTTTGGATGCTCCCAGCGGTTCCTTCTTGGCTTTGGCTTCGACCTTTCGCTCGTGGATGGTCTTGCGAGGCTTGTTGCTGATGAATGCTGCGTCGGATACAACGGTGGTAGTCGAGGGGGGTGGCTGCTTGTTCAGCGACAGGCCACCAAGTCGCGGCGCGCTGACAGCAGGCTGACTCGTCGACCAGTCGTCAAAGTACGACGCAGGTGATTCAGTTGGTTTCGGAGGTGTAACCGACGACACGCCGCCAAGCGATGCTCTCGACGGGTAGCTACCGGTAGACGGTGGTGGTGGTGCAAGCGACGGAGCGGCGGCGAGTGGACTCGTCAGCCCGTCCAAGTCGTCGTGGCCCCATCCATCGTCAGCAAAGTCATCTATCTCGTCAAAGCTCGTGACCGTGGAGGGGTTCCCGGAGGCCGCAGGCGGAGGAGCGGCCGTCTCAACGGGAGCGTCCCCCGGGGTATTGGCCAGTCGACTTTCCTTTTCCTGTTCGAGTTCTCGGGCTTTCATGTTGGCCGACTCTTGCTGGATCTGGACCATGTATTGCTGCATCGATCCTATGGCCTATACAATTGTATACGCACTCTTGATATGCAAGCAAGATGACGACAGTGTACTTACTTCGTCGCGGACACTGGGGGAGATGTCCAGCATGAGCGGAGAGATGGACGGGATGATCGAGGCTGCCACGTCTTGAAGCGTAAAGTACTCCTACGCACCCCCCCAGTCATGAACAGTTTGTTTCGTCGGCAGGGTCGTACATCGCATGCGACCAGAGTGCGCAGTCCCGCCATGCGCGCATGAGGGAACGGATCTTTCAGCGCGCGAGAGAATGCCGGCAGCAGCACCTTGGACCGCGTCGTGGCATTCATGTACGTCGCGACCTTGCCGAGGCAGATGGTCGTGTTGGTGCGGATCGCAGGCTCAGGGTCCACCTAAGTACTCCAACAACAGTGTCACATTCACAAAGTCCAACACGAACGTCAGTCATCGCAGGAGTTGAATGACCTGAAGTTTGGCAAAGTATTTCATCAGCTTTTGGTTCAAGTTGGCGTCCGACAGCTTGTCGGCAATGTGCAGCACCGACTTCATCGTGAGTTCCCGCAGGAGCGGCATCGTGTCGTTAAATCCTGTGCAAATGTTGTCGAATATCACGGCGCTGTTGACGAGTTTGGCGTCGAAATGCACGGCGAATGAGTCCATCATCTGTAGCAACTGCACGCGCACGGCGCGGTCGTTGCATCCAAACAGCTTGACCAGCGTCGGCAGCACTTGGGCTTTGAATTCGTCAACCTACCACAACCGCATATATACATATATATTGTCAAGTCGATTCGATATTGGAGTGGGGTTCTCAATCGACAAACAATCAAAGATCGACCAATCAAAACCCACAACACGAATATCAAGTGGCCAATCAAATCCACTCTTCGGCCAATCCAACACCGAATTAGTGTCTGAATAATATAATTAGTGTGAACCTCGACGACGATCTTTACATACAAAAAGTCAGTCACAAAGTAGTCTCGATCGATAGATTTGGCAAAGAATCAGCACAAACGTCCACATTTGCGGTAAATGGACTATATATATATATATATATATATATATACTTTGCGTCCAGAGAAAGGAAATATATACGCATCCTACAGTACCGGCAAGTGGTGGCCAATTTTGACCATCGCCGGCAGCATTTGGCTCTCGGATGGATCCAACTTGTACGTTGCCGCCTTGCCGCCGACACCCGTCGCCATGCCAAACTCGACCACTGCTTTCAATGCTGGAAGTACTTTGAACACCGCCGTGTGCTTGGGCAGCGAGTCCACTGACGCCACCAGTTCCTTGTAAAAGTCGGCTTTCTCGTCGGACGACTTGATGGGCAGTTGCTCCAGAAAAAGCATTTGCCGAATGAACCAAGACGAGTCAAAGTATGCAATTTGCAGCGCGTGGTCGGGCGTGATGCGGCGGCTGGCGGTGGCATCCGCCGCTCGCTTGATGGTCCCCGCGAGACCCGACGGAACGTTCCGGGAAAGGTCCGATGGAGACGAAAACGATGGGTGGAAGGTATGGATCGCCGTGCATGCGAACGCATACATGTCGATGGCATGCGGAGATGAGGACACGATGCTGCTCCAGTCGCTGCGAGCGTGTTCTACGATGATCAAGATATAGGATGAATACAACATCGTTTCGGAGTACAGAGAGGGGAAACCTGGGGTCTTGTAGCGCAGTTCTTGGTCAATGAGAGATTTGGGCCCGGACGAGCGATGATGCAGCAGGAACGGCCCGTCCATGGTCAGTTCGCCGGTCAATTGGAAGCCACCGAGTCTCCAATCGCCGCCCTACGGGTGGAGGACGACGAGGACGGACATATGAGCTAGCCGCATGGAGTTATGGAAGTACCTTTGTGACGAAGACACTCTCGGGATGCACGCGACCGTGTACCATCTTGCAGTCCATGTTGATGAACTTGAGCGCCGACAAGATCGACCGCAGTCCCCACGACACAGCGAGGGACTCTTCTTCGCTGTTAGGACCGTTGCGCGCGCGAATGTCGTCCAAAAACGATTTCAATGGCGTCACTTCTTCGGTCACAATGAACACGTTGCCGTTGACCACCTCGGTACCGTCCTACACAACCCATCGCGTGAGCTTGGATCTCGTGACGGCCATCCTCACACACAATGTACGCTAGCACGTTGGGATGGCGCAATGTTTTGATGCGGCGCAGACAGTTCTGTGTGAGGGTACACGGCGGCCCCTGCGACTTGAACACGGACACAGTCGATCCATCCTGCTTGCTCTTGGCTTTGAGCAAAGTGAACTCGGGGAGCACTGGACTTTCGTCACTGGCCGCATCGGTCACGGTGAAAGGCAAGCTTCCCACGCCGCCGGAGGTGAATGCCGAGCCGAGGCCCATGACTGTATTCTTGAGGAAGTTCATGGGTGTTGCCACGCTCTCACACGCTGGGTTGGAAATGTGAGTGACTCCAAGTACTAACGAAAGTCCAATATTTGGATCATTTTATTGGGAAATATTTCAAATATAATATCCGCATTTTCGTCCAAAATATGTCTTTCAACGGTGAGTAAAAAGTATCATGTTTTCGCTTTATTTCGAAGGAATTGCATAACGTTCCAAATATCCAAATATTACTATGAAGTTCAGTATGCAAGGACCTTTTGCCGGTTACGTCGCACGTGTAAAGAGCGTCGAGTACGTATCCTTGCCAGGTTGAAGCTATATTCAGTCGTTTGGGGTCAAAGTGGCATGAGCAGGAGTGTTATGGACGGTAACCATAGTCACTCCGACGAGCAAAGCAACGACGTCGCGCGCCGAGATGGACGGTGGCGGGACTCACATGGCGAAGCCGAAGCGACTGCACGCGGCCACACTGTCCTTGCCAAGCTCACGACCCATTTGGTGGACACGTACTCGAAATGTGGCCTGCCGCGCCACGAGCAGCCCAAGACGGCACGGCGCCTCTTGACCAAAAACAGCCAAGTCGTGGCCAACAACGGATGGGACAACTGCGACAACAACATTGTGCTTCGAGTGCGCGACCTGCTGGACGTCCACACCCGCTCGGGCGTGGCGAAAACGTTTGTCGTGCTGGACCTGTTGGGGCAAGGCACGTTTGGCCAAGTGTTTCGATGCCAAGACGTGGCAACGAAGGCTGTTGTGGCCATCAAAATCATTCGCAACCATCCGTCGTATTACAAGCAAGCGCTAGTCGAAGTCCAAGTCTCGCAGCTGGTACAGTCGGCCTCAAATGTGGTATGTATATATTACATACTTGACATTGCTATGTAGTTGACGTCTGCGGTGGGCATGGAAGGCCAAGAGCATGTTGTCGAGCTGCTCGATTCGTTCATGTTCCAAAATCACTTGTGCCTTGTGTTTGAGCTCCTCAGTGTAAACCTCTTCGAACTGCTCAGCCAAAACAACGTGAGTTTATATATATCATATATCATCCCTGATGCATTGGCTCTTCTTCTAGTTTCGCGGCCTGCCCCTGACGATTGTGCGGGGCTTCTTGCATCAAATGCTGAGGTCGCTTGTGCTATTGAACAACGCCCAGGTTATCCACTGCGATCTCAAGCCCGAAAACATTTTACTCACTGGGTACGATATGGATTTTTGATTGAATGGATGTACAAGTACAACCCTTGGACTATGTAGGCAAGACAAACTGCACTCGATGGCCCACCCCAGCCAAGTGGTGCCGTCGATCAAACTCGTCGACTTTGGCTCGGCGTGCTATGAGAACGAAACCGTGTTCTCGTACATCCAGTCGCGGTTCTATCGGTCTCCAGAAGTCCTCCTCGGGCTTCCCTATTGTGGCGCCATAGACATGTGGTCCCTCGGGTGTGTGAGGTAACTAGTAATACTATTCTCATCACTATCAATCCACCCCTTAACTTCTGTGTGTTTGATTGCTTAGTGCCGAAATGTACTTGGGACTACCTCTCTTCCCCGGGGCCTCGGACCATGACCAACTCAAAGTCATCGTCGACACATTGGGGTGGGTACTTCCAATCTCAAGGATTTCTCGGATATGCTATGTACCTAAAAGTGATGGGGTTTTCATTCCACTCGCATTTAGGTACCCGCCCCTCCACATGGTGCAACAAGGGTCAAATTTACGCAAGTTTTTCAATATCACTTCTCACAGTGGGGTCCGAACTCGTCCTTCCATTTTCATGTTGATTTCTCACAATCAATCGATCAATAGATTGTCCTCAAGACGGCCGAAGAGTACGCCCGCGACTGCCACACCACCGTGGCGTCGTCGAAGCGGTACTTCAAGCACTCTGCCCTGCCTGACATTATCAACGCATACCCCATTCGACGAGGAGCATCTGCAGACGAAGTGACCAAGGAGCGCCACAGTCGCGCCGCGTTCTGCGACTTTTTGCGTGGGTTGCTTCAATTGGACCCGCAGAACCGGTGGACACCGCAGCAGGCGTTGGACCATCCGTTTCTCTCTGGCAGACCATACATCCAGCCTTACGAGCCAGCGACCCACCGCCGCAGAAACATCAGGTTTCGAAGCCCCATCATGCCCATGCACCAGCCATACTCGACGACCCCTCCCCTGAGCACCTCCGCGCCCTTGCCGCCCTACTTCCAGTACCACCCGCCAATGTACTCGCATTCGTGTCCCTTTCCCCAACGCGAGCTTCCTCAGTGGCGTGTGCCTCGTCCTCATTCCAGATTGTATCATCAGCATCATCAGCATCAGCAGCATCCACACCACACCATGACTTCGCATGCGTCGTGTTGTCCGCCGCCGTTCGACCACTGGGACCCGTTCTTTATGCACGAACTGGACGACGCCCTTGCCGCTCCTCGTCCCCCTTCTCCATTGTACTCGTCGGATCATGTCAAGAAGGAACGAGTCGCGCCACGACTTGCCGCCGACCCGACGACGGATACGTGTGACTTTGAACGCAATGATGGCAACACCAGCAACAATAGGCAACCAACCCATCGAAAGTGGCGAAGGCGGCGCAAGAAAAAACTAGCCGACTACCTTTAATATGCCTTCTCGTACACTAGTATATAATACTAGTAGTATTACTAAAACAACGACGACAATCGATGTGTATTATGTTATTTTGAAGTGGACGGAATCGAATGTTTCGAGTCGAATCGGTCGCAGTCGTTGAAGAGCTCTTGCTTCCTGTCGGCTTGTTTCTGGGTCGAGTTCCATCCTGTAAAGGTCATCATGTCGAGCTCGTCGCGGCAGCTTTGAACCACAAGGGCCAAGTCCTCCTTGGAGATTAGACCCAGCTCAAATGCGATCATGCCCGCCGCAGCATAATTCTCGTACAAGTGGACGCCACGACTAGAAAAATACATATTTTTACAAAGAAGATATATATATTGTCATTATTAGTTAAAAATAAATAAACATAATTTAATCTATTGTTTAAAATATATGAAAAAAGTTTAATAACATATTCCTTTATAGTACTAGTATCTTTTTTTTACATTAAAAATATTCGAGGGGGAAATACCAAAGTTGGCAGGCAATCGATTGACCAATCAAAAAATAGCCAATCAAAATCTCGCTTCCACCCTTCCACATCGAATTAGTGTATGTGGCTTTTAATTCGAGCAACATCCGGTCATATATTTGTTTGCATACAAAATTCCGTACAAACCATCGATCGAAGGCTTTAAATTTGGCCAAGGAGCACACAAATCATCCAAATTTTAGCGATTGTGAATTCGCTACCGTATTTGTCGTTGATCTGTACCATGAAATACAAAACGCGAATATAATTCTATAATTCAATACAATCTTGAATCAATTATACAAGTCGAATATTTAAATAAATTCTTCAAATTTAATTCCATGGTGCAAAGGTACGAAGAAACTTCCAACATTCGCGTGGTTTGCCTAATCAATATTGAATCATGCTGGAGTTCTGATTGGTTGAATATACATGTACGAGCCAATCAAAGCCACTCAAAAATAATAGCGTCGATTCGTGATTCGGTTCGACGGGGTCTGGAAATTTGTACCGAATCATCCACAATATTACAAAGGCAATGTACGTACTTGACATAGTCGGCCTTGGCCCCTCCGTCGCCCGTCAACGGAGACGACGGGTTGATGTCGTGGATAAACGTACCGAGCACCTACACATCAGTGTTTATATACGCAAAACACTAGTACTCGTAGGCGAATAATCCTCGATATAGTTTACCTTGTCGGGGTAAAGAGCTCGCATTTGAGATGCAAGGAGGGCATCGCCTTGGCCAGAGTCGCCGAAGAACACAAATTTATACTCGGGGAAGAGGCTCGTGTACCGCACAAAGTTGTCCAATTTGAGTCTACCAAAATGATATATATACAGGCAATCTATGAAAAACAACACATATCTACTATGTCGCATACGGACCCTGCAATCTTTTTCGGGTTGACTCCAGTTCGAACAGACCCGTTGAGCACGGTGGGGTTGGCCAGCCCTAGACTCACGAGGTGATCGGCGGTCAAGTTGCGGCCAAAGCTGAACCAGCCGCGGGGCCGCGCGGTGAGAAACGTCACGGACGGATTGCTGCAGTCCACTCCGCGGGACATGCACTGGAACAGCGTGGTCACTCCAGGGTATAATGTGTGGCCAGGATACCGCGCATCCACCCAGCTACATTCAGGTAAGAGTGATGGATATGATGGAAGAAGTAGCATTACTTACCCTGCAAACAACGTGTCGTCGATGTCGCTGAGGATTTTGATCAGCGGCGGACTCTGGACGACCTTGAGCGCCTCCACGGCAATGTGCTGCGCCACCGACACCACTTGGGTCAGGTCCCGGCAGCCGTAGATGAGCTGATGGAGGTCGCCGCCGTGGAACCCGCCGTGGTCGTGGGAGGGAAGGAGAAAGTCCGAGTTGATCACTTCCTTCAATCGAGTCAAGTCGGATCCGTACGTGCCTTTGATCACGTTGAACGCGGCCTTTTGGAAGTCGGGCTTCTGGCGATTCAGCGGCGACGCCAGGTGCTGCTGAATGGCTCGAATGATAATGCCGCGGTTGGTCAAGCTACAATCAACAGGGAAGAGGGGGAGAAGGATGTGATTCAGTATACTTGATATCGTCCAGTCGCTCGTGCGTGATCACGTCGAGCACTCTCGATCGAACCACGGAGCTGCAAGTGTGCAGCATGAAACCCGTCATGGTCGAGCAGAAGCTGTCGGATCCTTCGGGGGACGTTGCTCCCAAGATGCCATTCAGGACATCCGGGGGTGCTTCGGCCAAGATGTTGTGGCAGTACTTGTCGTCGGTCAAGGGCACGTTCGACGCCTACAAGTCCATGTTACGACGCGCACACAGCTGCGGATGTGTTCGAACTCTTAAGTACATTTCATCTTCCGTGTCTTCGCCATCGACTTGAAAGACCACACCGTTCCGCCGCTGTCGAAACCTCCACGACGTACGCTAGCGAAGCAAGCATCAACGCATCGTCTCAATGTTGGATGGTGCTCACCTGTTTCATGCCAGCCCATTTGCGCTTGATTCGACCAGCTGCAAACTTCCACGTGGAAATGCTTGCGACTGACGCTACTCTCATCATGCACGAAGCATGCACACGTCGGGACAGCATCGAAGGAACCTGGATTTCGATGGAATCATCCTCCGGTTAAGCTATTCGAATTTATCCGGTGGTCCCGATAGTACTCAAATAGTAACGTTAGTACTATTTTAATAGTACAAACGTATTAAAATACCAACCAATGACGCCAATATTACTGTTAATACTAATATTACTACTACTGTACCCATTTTTCGTTTAAGTTCAGGTTATTTCCGGTATATTTCGTCCGACTCACAACTGATTCACGTCATGTGCGCTACTGATTTATGTTCGCCAACCATTCGATATATTTCGTCCAGACCCTACTTCGTCTCATTATATTTCGACTGAATGTCACCCCGGTATATTTCACACGTTGTTCAATATATTTCAAATGATGTTCCATCTATTCGACGCAGTACTGTACTCGAGGGAACGAAGTAGCCAATGAAATTTTCGAAAAAAAGACTTTCGATCAATGTCCTTTTCACAAAGAGTTCAACGTTGTATCGAAAAGCAACCAAAGACAGCAAATCCAACTCAAATAAAAAAACGCCAGACGACTTCAACTAAATATAACCACGGTCACCCAAGCCACCAAAATACCAAATTTAGCTCGAAAGCACAATATCAACGAAAGACAATGTTAAAAAAATATCAACCACCACCGAGTTACCTCAAGTAAAGCAAAAAGCCAAATAGATGGAACATCATTTGAAATATATTGAACAACGTGTGAAATATACCGGGGTGACATTCAGTCGAAATATAATGAGACGAAGTAGGGTCTGGACGAAATATATCGAATGGTTGGCGAACATAAATCAGTAGCGCACATGACGTGAATCAGTTGTGAGTCGGACGAAATATACCGGAAATAACCTGAACTTAAACGAAAAATGGGGTATTATTAATACTAGTACAGTACAGGGGAGAACGTAGTTGTAAGTTGATTTTACAAATAGAGCCGAGACATCTGATTGGCCAATATCCACGTAGAAACTCGAAAATGGATTGTAGCCAATCAGCGACAAGTAATTTCGGATTGACCAATGGGAGAATTGGTGCTCGATTCGCTCGATTGAATGGGGTCCGGAAATTCGTACCGAATCTCCAATACAGTATCACTATAATATTAATAGCTGTTAGTTACTATGTAATAGTACTAAAGGTTATAATAATACTGGTATTGAGAGAAGTAATAGAAGTTCGGATGAACCCTCGTTACAGTTTATAGTAGCAGCCCCCAACTGTACAAAGCCATGACTAACGTTGGAATAACACATCGTTTGTCTCCACAGTCGTTTGGTTGATCGGTCGAGCTAATCGACAACATGGTTGAAAAATGCGTGCAGTTTCTTCGCACTCGCTCCGCCCAGCCACACGGTGAGCTCTGCGACGGATTTCGAGCTCAGGTCGGCCAGGTTGCGGCAGTGGGCGGTCAACTTGCGGAAGTTGTGGTCGTTCACCCCGGGCAACTTCCTCAACACGTCGATGGCGTTGGCATTGTCGCCGGGGGTGGCGGCCCCCGCCGCCATCGCCGCTTCCACCGTCGGGTCGTCCTGGCCCTTCTTCACGACCTTGAACAGGTCCACCGTGCCTTGGGGGGAACGCGACCAAAGTAGTCGGAGCGTGGGGAAATGCAGCACCAGTAAACTGAGCTTGGAGCAAATGTTGGAGTGTTTGATATCGCTTGGAATGTCCGATGGTTCCTACGTACGCCAGCCAGCTCACACATACATGACATCACCACCACGTACTTGAAGCGAAAACGGCTTCTCGGGGGTAAACTCGATCAAGAGCACTGGAACCTACAGTCCATTGTGGTTAACTGTAAATTCGAAGAGTATTATTGTGCTTTCCAGTGAAATTTCATTGTGTTGTGGTTTCTCGTTGGAATTTAAATCGATTGGATTGGCTACCTCAGATGAGCTCAAAATTATTAGCCAATCAAAACCTTCTCAATGAAATTCAACAACCAATCAGATCGATTGTGGATCGGTTTCGTCGGCGCGATTCCTCCTCCAAATTTGTACTATCAAATCGACAATAATATTGGACAAATTTGTGCCAATCCAAACGTTTGACCCATTGGGCAAAACCACAAATATATATACTCCGCATAGTGTGTGTGTGCAAGATGTTAATAGGATGATCAAATGGATGTTTCGAATGCTATATAAGTCCAAACATTTCGGTGCAATGCTTCACAATACTCTTTCTACGAACTACTGCATAGTAGTTAGTATATGTACCTGGTAATGGCGCAGCATCATTTCGGCTTGGTTGAACAACCGGCCGTTCGCGAGTGACCCAAACAAGTCGGAAATGCTCTTTCGCTCGACACATATCCGCGGGGACAAGATGTAATCACCGACTTCGATCGTCACAGGGTGCAGCACCAGTCCTTCCTTGTGCAACATGGACGGCAACGCGCTGCGGAACTCGCGGACGTCCACCACCACCACTTGGCTCGAGATGGCGGACGTGGCGCGGCCGCCGGTGCGGGTGTCCAGGCTGTACTGTACAGACTGCTTCTTCCTTTTAACATGCGCTGGGATGTCAAACACGTTCAACGGGATCACCAGGTGCTCCTTTTGCTGGATCAATCGCTCAAATGCGTCCTAGTAGTAATACTAGTCATCCAACGACGATCGTAGTTTTCTAGATATATGTAGAGAGGACATGGAAGTACATGTTCGCGCTTGACTTGGGTTAAGTACGTTTGCTGTTCCGCACTATTTTCGTACACCATAAAGTACACTTGGACGGGGTGCTGCTGCCCACGGCTGTCGTGGGCAGAGTTGCAAGCGTTGAACACTTCGAGCTGCCGAATAAACCCGACGTCCGGATCGTACAAGACGATGTGCGATGGGTGCAGGTCGTCCAGGAGGTTGGGGAGTTTGTCCGCTTCAGCATACGTGCACAGCACCAGTTGATCCTGTGGCGGTAGCGTACCCAGGTGACCAGAAGGCTTGGGCTTTTTTGCGTCTTGCTGGGAGCTAACACATGTAGTAGGAACCAACCACAAACAACCATCTCGAATATAATAATCACTAACGTTACTACTATTTACGAGTACAGATACAGTACGCAAGTAGGGTTGTGAATGTCGTTCAAATTTCACACTCGTTAGCAAAACCTCGTTGCGATATATTGCAAACCAGAAAAGACATGGAGAGTCGTGTAGCCAATCAGAGAAAAGGAATAAATGATCAACCAATCAATGATCGGTTCATATTGGATCCGGAAATTCGTACTATTGAATCAACAATAAACATTGTCAAGTCTATTCGAAATTGGAATGAGCAGCAGCACCAAATCGGCAGAGAATCGATATACGACCAATCAAAACCCAGAGCACTAGTCAAGTAGCCAATCAATTCCACTCTTCGACCAAATCAAACACCGAATTAGTGTGTGACTGAAATTAGTGTGATACTGGACGATCTTTACATACAAAAAGTCAAAAGAATCGATCGATAGATTTGGCAAAGAAGCAAAAGTCAACCACATTTTGGGCAAAAGGACAATCGTACCTGAGGTAAATCAATTCGTCCAGCGGCATGCCATACGACGCCACGTCATGAACGAACGACTCGGTCGATTCGGCGGCCGCCTTGCGCTTGCCCTGTGACGTGGTGGTCGTGTGATGGGATCCGACATCTGGGATCAACAATGTGGCTGCGAGGTCGCGGAGAAGCTTCTGTTCGACACTGAACGACGACAGGTTGTTGACCATGCTTTCGTTCTTGTGCTTGAGGTATCTGCCGAATCGCTTCTTCATCATGGCAAGGCCGCCCATGTACAGAATTTCCCGCAGCTGCGACGCCGTGCGGTCGTCCCGCAGCATCACAAGCGTCTCAGCGCCAGACACTCTGCCGGATGACGACGCTGGCCGTGGTTCGAAGTCGCCGAGGAGTTCGAGTAACGACGCCCACTTGGGGTTGAGTTCAAGAGCGAGCTGGAGATCGTACTCGTTGGCCTTTTTTGTCTTGTGCAACAGGTATAATCGCTTCTTGGCTGCAGTAAACAACCGATCGGCCGCTTCACTGAATAGCCAAGGTGACGGAATGCGTTGCTGGCCACTCAGCTTCTTCTGGGTCAGCAAGTAGCTGTAGAACGTAATGGCGTCGTAGCGAGTCAAGTACGACAACAGCTACAACCACGTGTATGTGTGACGAGGTTTCACTCGGTGAAGAGAAAATGCATGAAAAAACCTGCCGCAGATGAGTCAAGTCGGCGCTCAGTTGCTTGGTTTTCGCTGGCAATTGATGCCAAATGGACGTCAACTACATGTTAAGGAGTCAACTAACCACGACAACAAGGTAGTATATATGTACCTGGCGCTTTAAGATAACGTCCAGCGCCTTGGTGAGCGCGTTTTGGATGGTTAGGTCGGTCTCGTCCAGGTCTTTGCAGCTGCGCTTGAGCTCGTTGAGCGTGGCTTCGGTGGCCACCAGCAGCGCCTGCTGCATCTCGATCATCAACGGCGTCATGGCCACTTGGATCTCGTACACGTCGGGCTGGTGCTGCTCCAAGCACGTGCCCACAGCCATATGGAAGCGCGGGTACAGAAGGACTTTCCGAAGGTACATCAGCTTCATCGCCTGCTCGACTTTGTTGAATCCAGACGAAAACGAGATTGCGTCGTCTGAAAACGCCTTGACAAACCCATTCCGGTTCACTTCTCGAAACAACCGCAGGATGAACGCCTCCACGGACGAGTCCGACACCTTGTGCGCGTGGCACATCAAGAGCCCAGAGATCATCTATACATGCATGAGTCAACATGTTGTGTGCATGTGGATGTGGCCTACCGAGATGTCGATGGAATGGTTGAGCATATCCACCACGAGGATTCTGGACGTGATGATGATGCACCCGCCGCTCTTGTACATAAGCTTTCGCTCGTGCACCGTGCACTTGTTTGTGATCACCTATGGAATGCACATGAATACGATTTCGGACACTGAGTCATCTACCTGCGGCAAGCGCTCGTTGCTCAAGCCTTGGGCGCGCAACGCTTCCACGTACCGTTCGGCGTCATGTGATGCGTTCAAGCAAAGCGTAAGGTTTGTCGGCTGGGAGTATAGTTCCATGCACTTGCCGACAATGGACTGAAGTCCAATCCCTTTGGCCAGGATCACCATGACGTCCCGCTCCATGAGCATCGCCTCCATGATCTCTTTCTCGTAGTCCAGCCACAGGCGCGCCATGTTTTCCACGTTTGAAAATGCGCGAGATCATGATGGTGTAGTATTACTACAACGAGTAGTAATACTAGTTATAGTTTGTAACTTTTGCAGTACACAGTATTATCACAAAGGCTCGAATCATGCGAACTAGTTTGGCCGAGCACAAGCGCGCATTCCGCAAGACGGCCAATGCATCATCGTCCAGCGAGATACGCGAATCCGCTTCATCGAAGGCACCGTATCGCCAAGCTAGGAAGTCGGGTGTCTTGACGTTGCCGGCGAAGGGACTGACCACTTTCCCCGACGAAGCTCTGCATTTGATGGACTTTCTCCAGCCAGTACGACGATCAAGCACGGTTGATACTGAATATTCAGCCGTGTGTTGTTTCTAGGATGAGAAGGGATGGGAGTGCGTGGACTTGATCAAGGTGGACCTCAGGTTTGTTGATTCCGGTGCTTGACAACACGTTGTAACCACGACGTAGTCACAACGACATTGCCGCCATCCCCCCCGACATCCAAGGTCTCTCGGGCCTGCTGTCGTTCAAAATGTGCCAAAACAAGTTGGTCGACGTACCCGTGGAGCTGTTTTCATTGACGTCGCTGGCGTACCTGGACCTGAGCAAGTACGAGTGCCCATTGTCGATCGAATAAGATCATTCTGGTGATGGTTTGCCTAGCAACTGCTTGGGCGGAGCATTCCCTGACCCTCTCGGCCGGCTCAACAACCTAAAGGAGCTAGTGCTGTCGGGCAACAAGCTCACAAGTGTACCTGCGTCCATCGGAGACCTGAGCAAACTCGAAGTGTTGCGGCTCGAAGACAACCTCCTCGTTGGGTTTCCTGATACGATCGGTATACAATACTCCCATTTTCTGTTCATATATGTTTAGATGTATATATGAACAGAAAATATATATGTATATACATACATATATATATATGAACAGAAAATATATATGTATATATATGGTTGCATTCGTAGGGGGTTTGCAAAAGCTGCAGACCCTGACAGCCCAAAACAACGAGATCGAAGGGATCCCACCTTCGTTCAAGGACCTTCGGCACATTGCCACGCTCGACCTGAGCAAGAACAAGCTCACGAGCCTCATCGGGTGCCTCAAGCACAACGAGCGCCTCAAGTTCCTGGACTTGCGGCAGAATCGCCTGGCCACGTTCCCTGAGCTGCCGTTCGAGTGCACGTTGGACACGCTATTTCTCGGTTTCAACAGCCTCACGTCGATCAACGGCGCGTCGCTGGTGCGGGCCAAAGACCACTTGACCGTCCTCGACCTCCGCGACAACAAACTGCCGCTCCTACCCGACGACGTGTGCCAACTCCACAGGCTCAAGACGCTGGACGTGTCCAATAACGACCTCTCTGACCTGCCACCAGGTACATACCTATTGTCTGTTTACCCAAAAAGGTTTTGGACTTTTGTGCTGATTCGCCAAACCTATCAATCGATATGCTTTGTACTGACTGGTGTACTTCGAATGTGTATGTAAATAAATAGCTGTCCTGTGGTAATAACCACACTAATTGAAGTGACACACTAATTCTTTGTGGACGATGGGTTTTTTCTGCAATTTGATTGGTTAAATATTTCTGCCGATGATTTTTCTGTATATTAATTTGGTTGTATCGATTCATCCTATACCATGTCGCTCCAGTATTTAGAATAAACACAACGATAAAGTTTTGTCGACTCGTACTTCGTTAAACCCCAGTGGGAACTTGTGACTTGTGTCTATAGGACTGGGATACTTGACCCATCTGCACCATATCTTGACGGATGGAAACTCGATGCGGTACGTACGTTATATATATATATGTATTCATTCAAGTGTAATATATGTATACTTATAATATATATTCCAATTGATTTACACTTGATATTTAAATACTTAAATACATTCAAGTGTATTGTATATGTATATATTTACACTCCATTGAATACGTATACTATAAACATTTTGGAATCTCGTTTGACGTTGATATTATTTTTCCAGGGCCATTCGACGAACGGTGCTTACATCAGGGTGTGAACCTCTGAAAAAGTACTTGCGCACACGTGGCAAGCCCCCGAGCGGCGTGAACGCGCTCGACGAAGAGTTCGACGAGTTCAACAAGGAGCCAACAGCCACCGACGTCGAAGTCGGCTACCTCTTGCGCGATGCGTCCGCTTCGGGAACATTGGACCTGTCGGACAAAAAGTATGTTTACTATATATATATACTACTGTTGTCAATAACCCCATCTATGGTTGACGTTAGATTTTCTAAAGTGCCGTTGGAGTTTTGGCCGCGGGATTCAATGGTGGACAAGTTGCAAGTGCTGGATTTAGCCAAAAACGGACTCGCCCTCATTCCGTTTGACATTGGCCTTTGCGTCAACTTGCATACGTTGGTCCTGGACGACAACCTCCTCGAGACCCTTCCTTCGTCGATCGCCAGCCTCGGACTCCTGCACACCCTTCGCTTGCGCAAAAATAACTTGGCTGAAGCTGCCTTTGACCACGTGTTGAGCCAAGGCACCCCGTTGTCTTGTCGTGTCAAGGTACATATTATAAGGCCGAGTGTGGATGCCACAGAATCTTTCAATCAACACTAAATTTATGGGGGTGAGAAATAATATTTTCAAGTTGTTAAGTTGGTAAAAATTGGACAGTTGCAGTTGGAACTTTTTTCTGTCAGAAAACAGTAAAAAATCGGCGTATACTGTCACTTTATATGTGTTAGATTTGGTAGCCAAACACCACACAAGAGTATTCGTTTGAAAAATTGTCGAAATATTTCAGAAAAGTTTCAAAAGGAGGTGTTTTCGAACGGTTTTTGTGGTAGACTTTGACCCCGTAACACAAATTGAATTATTATAATGTCATGTTAAGGTATTAATAACATTCAAATAATGTTGTAGGAGCTGGATGTCAGGAACAACGCCCTGCGCTTCGTTCCCAGCGGCGTCGTGCACTTGACGTCTTTGCAAACGTTGCTCTTGTCGTACAATGCAATTGCGCAGTTGGAAAACATCGACTGGTCGCGGTTGCAGAGTTTGTATGTGCTCAGTATCTCGGACAACAAGGTACGCAACTCATATTGCTTTCTTCACAGTAATAGTAGTTGACAATATATATATATATTTCTCAAAGAGCACACTACTTACATCGTACATAACGGTATGACCATAGTTGGTATCGCTCGGCAATTTGTATCAATCGCCAAATCTTACGTCGCTGTCGGTCGAAAACAACAATTTAAATCAAGTACGAGAGTGACGCAACCACCACCACATATTGGTACACATAATATATCTCGGGTAGATACCGGGCGAGTTTGGGCTCATGAAGTTGAAAACACTGGCGATGAATGGGAACCCCCAGCGCACGGTGCGCTTGGCCACGATCAACAAGGGGATCGACGAAGTGCTGCTGTTTCTGCGCAATAAACTGACCCCGTCTGAGATCGAAGCTTTTTCGAACAAGCCCACTCAACTCAGTCCAGCGAGCCCCATGGAGGTTGAGGCGAAGGTTCCGCTGGTGAAGACATCGACGCGTCCAGTAGTCGGAGCTACTTCATTCACTTCTCGACCTCCAGTTGCACCTACTGGTGCCCCCCCCCTTCCTAGCCAACAAAGGGAGAGTGCGGTGGACGAAGTAGTTGCTACGACGATAACTGCTTCCTCTGTGGATCTCCGCATCGCGACATTGTCCGAGCAGTTGGAAGACCATGGACTCTCTGCCGCGAAACGATACGCGCTCAAGAAGGACTTGGCCAAGGCGCGGGCTGAAAAGATCCGGGAAAGCCGCAGCAAAACCACGAATTAGACAAGGGTGGATGAAATATAATGTGTTTACGATGGATGTTGTGCTCAAACGACTCGATTGCTTGGGAGGTTGGTGTTGAGGCCTGCGTTGATCTCGTGCCGCTTGGCCCAATAGCTTCTCTTGTGTAAACAACACTCGGCAAAGAACCCTGCGATCGCAAGTACGCCGATGGCCACTCCTGCGTACACCACGCCAGGCAAGCCGGCAGAGGTCGTCTCGCTCACGGGAAGGGTCACCACTGGCGCCGTGGCATTCGTGAAGAGGAGTGAGCTATTGGTAGTCGCCGTTGCAACTAACGCGCTCACGCATGACTGTCTGATAGGAACGAGTGAAGGGTCGTACCAGAATGGATCGATGCCATCGTGGCTACGAGCAGGACATACGAGGACGCGGCATAACTTGGCGGCATAGCTTCCGGATTGCTAATGCAGATGACTGCTTCCTTGTGGAAATTCCGGCTCTCTGCGCATTCATTCCGTGTACTAGTCGCATACTAGCAATATATTTAGTAGTACTAGATAGGTTCGAATTATACGAGCTTTTTTGACCGATAAGTTGAAAGCCGCCCAGCACGATGCGCCAACGGAAGAACACGAGCGTGCGCGCGTCGATGGACTTCTCTGTATGAACATGTGATAGCGTGCTCTCTTCATGGCGCTGAACATGAGCATTAGGGTCCACTGAATGCCGTGTCGGTGTCGCACGCCCAAAAGGTACATGCCGAGACATGTGTATAATGCATGATGGCGTTGGCAGTGTGTTCGACCCGTTCCCTTCGTGGTAGTTGATTGCAGTGGGGGGACGAGACGTGCTCAAGATCGTGGCGCTTGAAACCACTGGGTTTGTGGAAAAGAAGAACCTGCGCTCGTCGAAATCCAACTTGAATTTCAGTACCAACGACATTCGATGGCATCCACGTACACACGATCGATCTACCGCGCGCGCACTTGTGTTGACATGGATCGTTCATGCTGGTAGAGTCTGATTCGATGTTGGCCACCGCGGCCACGAATGGTTTCTTGGTCTTGTGGGACGTCCAGCACAAGGTGCAGAGTAAGTACGTTCATGTCATGCCTTGCGCGCTAATTGTTATCCCATTAGAGCGCGAGGTGAAAGCGCACGATCGAGCTGTGAATCGCATCTGCTGGCATCCCACTGACCCAAACTCGCTCTTGAGTGCATCGCAGGACGGGTTGATCAAGCTCTGGGTACGTCCTCATCTCTTTTTCTTCGCCATCAGGATCATGTATCCTTGGCTGACACGTAGGACCAGCGGCACAAGGGCGTATGCACCGCCGTGTTCCAGCAGCAAAAGTCGGAAAGCGTTCGAGATGTCAAGTTCAACCTGTTTGAAGACACGCGATTTGCAGCTGCGTTTGAGAACGGCTCTGTGGAGGTGCTATTATTTATTATTTATTACTTTATCGTTGTATATCGTGTTAGATTTGGGACGTTCGCAACAACAAGCAGCCAGAAACCAAGTTCACTGCCCATCAAGGGCACATCCTGTCCATAGACTGGCATCCGTCCAAGGCCAGAGTCATCGCCACGGGCTCCCGCGACCGCAGCGTCAAGGTCTGTGCAACAAATAGATGAAAACGACCTTCATTTATATTCGAATATAGATGATACGATGTTCATTTACTATTCAAATCATTAGATATGGGACCTCTCCGACCCAGCCAAACCCGCGACAAGCCAAACGATAGCTTTGATTGCCAACGCTGGACGAATCCAATGGCGGCCAGATTGCGAGGGTACGACCTCGGTCGATTCGGCAATTACGTGTAACTACTTGTGTGGGTAGATCACATTGCCACGAGCTCGTCGATCACAGACAGCCGGTAAGAACATCGTGGTGGTTTTACTCGTGGTTTTACGTACTTTGTGGTGGTTTTAGCATTAATGTGTGGGACATTCAGCGACCGTTTGTCCCACTGGCGTGTCTGCAAGGCCATGCCGACATTGTGTCGGACTTTGAGTGGTTCGACACCCCCCTTGTCCAGTCGTTTGGTGGGGCGACCGACACCAGCTTGGGTACTACTAGTATTACTAGTGGCACGGGGTACTAACGGATACCGTGGAGACTACGATGGATTCCGGTATTGGCAACATGTCGTCGCGTGCTCCAAGGACAAGACTCTCAAGCTGCATTCCCTCGCGGAGGCTGTGAAACCCCACCAAACGATGCACGCGGTGGCGCTAGCGATGAACATATCAGGACACGTCGTCTCTTCCCACGACGAGATTGGTACGACCTACTATTAGTAGTACTAGTTGATGTTGCTAACTAGTAGTTCGAACGATTATTGAACGGTAGATCGTTCGTGCACTTCGCTGCTCATTCATCAGCACGAGAGCTCCGTGAACCCAATCTTTTCGGTCTCCAACAACTCGTTGAACATGCAGCACCCCCCGCGCAAGGTCAAGTCGGCGGCCAACCTCGCGCCGTCAATGCCCCGCATCCCGTCGTTCAAGGCGGCGGCTACCAAGCGCAACGTGTCGTCGGGGTCGCTGCCAAACTCCAATACCTACGACATGGTTCACACGCTGTCTCATCACGACACCACGTCGCAGACAGGGACAATGGTTCCTCAAGGTATAGCTAACTTAGTCATTCCTTGTCCATGGACCCCTCGTCTCATAGATTTGCTGCTTCGTTTTGGACTAGCTATGATCAACGCGTCGTCGTTCCACAGCTCGATGTCGGCCGACCAGATGAAAGCCATGCTCGTGCAAAAGGACGCGCATCCTCCGGCCGCCGCCGCCTTGGACGACCGGCCTCAATCGTTTGGGTTCAACCAGCAAGTGTTTAGCTTCCTCGCGCAAACGTATGAGCTGCACGGCCCGTCCTTTCAGGGTATTTGTGCGCACAACGCTCGAGTACGACGCTGCTATTTATTTTAATTATATTTCTTATTGTAAGTTTTGTGTCGATTGTCCATTTTGTGTTCTTTTTATGGATATATATTTGGATATTTGTGCTCATTCACACGAAATCAAACTGGTCGATATGTTGTAGTCCTGAACTTTTTTGTTTGGAATATTTGTGAAGTCATTCACACTATTTGAAGTCGTACACGAATTGGAATTATTGCCGGAAAAAAATGATTGGCCACTTGATTCGTGTGTGCTGGGTTTTGATTGGTCGTTCATCGATTAACTGTCGATATTTTTGGTGATTCTGCTCATTCCTAGTCTAATTTCGACAATATACTTCTGTGATAACGTCTTGCGTATGCATACATGTAGGTGGCGGCGGTCGCAGGGTGTATGCACCTGAGTAAAACGTGGACGATTTTGGAAATGCTGTTTGAAAAGCGAATCAATCCCCACAGCCCCAAGGACGTTGCTGTAGACGATCCGCACCAACGACTGGGCAATCAGACGTCGACACTTCTCGCCCAGTTGGACGAAGTGAACCCCATGCATGTATATAGTGTGTGAAAATACATACCGCCATGTATGGGCTCGCATCTTGTTGTTAGGGAGTCGAAGCGTATCCATATGATGAACACAAGGAAGTGGCCGTACCGAGCCCCCAAACGTATGGCAAAAGTGCAGACGTGTCCCGAATCCAAGACACGTTGCTAAAGGAATTGCTCGAGTTTTACTCGGAGGCAGGCGACGTGCAGTCTTGCACGACCATCTCGGCGGCCATGAGCTACGTCACCAGCATCGAAGCACTCATGGGCAAAGGATGGCTGCAGCAAGTGTACATGCATTACATTGGTAATACTGCTGCTATACGATCACTTGCATGAATGATGATCTCGAGTAGATCTGCTGCACCAGTTGCAACTGTATTCAGTCGCCAACCACATGGTCAAAAACTGTCCCGACGTTGGGATCAAGCAAATGAACATGGTACTATATATATATATATATACATCCTGGAGTTGGATATATTTGAAACGCTGGGATAATAGCTTGAAAGACGATATTGAAACTCTTTTGAAACGTTTGAAACTCTTTTGAAACGTTTGAAACTCTTTTGAAACGTTTGAAACACTCTTTTCAGACGTATCGAGACCGTTTCAAAGTATACTTGTGCATAGAAAGCGACGACGATTTACACGTCGTGTGCGAAATGCAACAAGACGCTGGACGTGTTGCCGCCCAAGATTGCCAAGGTGGCCAAGAACGCGCTGTGCACCCATTGCTTTAACGTGACCAACTGCTCGATTTGGTATGTGATTTGTATTAATTCCTGTATGATGGAAACCTAATTGGACGTGAATATATGGGGAATAGCGAACTGCCCGTGTCGGGGCTGTTCGTGTGGTGCCCAGTGTGCTCCCACGGCGGACACTTGCAGCACATGCAGGACTGGTTTGCCACCGAGCAATCGTGTCCCACAGGATGCGCGCACGTGTGTGCTCCCTATATGTTTGTACGATCGTCCTCGTAAGGCAGTGTAGATAGATAGATGTACAGTACATCTCCTGCACTAAACCTGTAAAGTCCAAGAAGAGCTGTAAATGATATGGAATATTACACCACGTTGCAGTTAAGTTGGACGAATGCCCGATATATTTGGCCGTGTGTCCGATATATTTGGCGGTGTGCCCGATATAATTAGCCGTGTGCCCGATATAATTAGCCGTGTGCCCGACATAATTGGCCATGTGCCCGTTTAATTTGGCACATCGTGTGCCCGATATATTTGGCGATGTGCTCGATAGAATTAGGGCATCCCCAATGGTGCGACGGTATAATCAGACTGTAAACTTATTGCATTACTCCAGTATGTTGCTCCACCAGGTAGCTAAGGTGCGATGGCAGTCCGGATCGCAATAGGTGCAATAGTCGCCCCCACGCGGGCCCAAAACTGCTCGGCCTTATGCCCGCCCCCCTCAGACTCATCTTGGGATATGTTCAACCACGAACAAACTAGCAGGCAGTCCTCGTCAGTGATGAAGTTCGCACCCCGCCCGTTGAGAGCCATTCCAGCAGTGTAGTATTGGTATGGAAATGTCCATGCTCAAATACATGCGTTTTATTGGTGGAAATATGCTGGTTTGTGGGTTTATGATTGGCTCCGGTATTTTACCGTCGGGTGGTCACAAAACGGTAAAAATGGCCGATTTGCCGTCTCGCGGTAAAAATATGCCGTTTCCGGTAGATACCGTCGCACCGTTGGGGTTGCCAAAACTGCATATTTGACCCCAAAAACGGTAAAATAGCGTTTACCGTCGCACCATTGGGGATGCCCTTAGCCGTGTGGCCAAGTAGTTGGCCCTCTGTCGGATGAATTGTGCCATCAGCCCGATGAAAATGGAATAACTCAAATAATAATATTCCGTGGAGTGCAAATCAGTTTTGGTGGAAACTTCATGTGGTTGACAGTGAAGTAAGGCAAGGTTTCGAAATTTATACTTGAATAAAGTATAGTTTAAGTTCATAATGGGCACACTGCTTTCCTCCAACACTTTGAATGCTCATTATTCAACGCACAGCATGGACGTAGCTAACTCCGGTAATAATACTGTAATTAAAGTCTTGCCCGTATACTTCAACGTTTCGTCCATACTCCAAAATTTGAATACAGTACGTCACCCGCAGAGCTTATTTTTCGATTTACCTCAAGGTACGCACGCACCTTCGAAGGACGCGCGGGGGCCACGGGCAACATGGGCGTTGCTATGTGACGTCACAGCAACGATGCTGCATGTGTCGTTTAACGACCATTTCTATATTGACTTTTTATTGACATTTTCATCGGGCACACGACACAATTCTTCGGGCACACGGCCAATTATATCGGGCACACTTTCAAATATATCGGGCACACGACCTCGGTGTGCCAAATTAAATGGGTACATGGCTAATTATGTCGGGCACACGACCAAATATATCGAGTAACGTTATTATTAACTGCAAAAAGGTGTACTACTCGTGTACTAGTTAGCATAGGGCTTGTTCTACTACCGCTTTCAAACAATGTAGTATGGAAAGTCGCCACTACTTGTGAACACGGGGTCTTGCCTAGTGGCCACGCTTGCACTTTAAACTAGTGGGTTTGAGTGGCAGTTTCACATTCCTGGCAGTTACAAAATGTTTACTGGATCGGTTCAACGCAACCACATGGATGAAAGTGCGGCGGCGACGACGGGCGACAAGAGGACAAGACTAGAGATTGAGGCGGTAATACGCAAAGCAAAGGACGAGCGGAACCGACTGGAAGCTCAACGAGAAGCACACAAGCGCGCAAACCGAGATTATGCACGGAGTGTGATCAAGCTCATAGCGTTGGAAGCCACCGACTTGGACGCGTTGACTGAGTTTGCAGGTGCTCAACCACGTCACACAAGTGAGATACAGTTGATCGAATGACTGTAGAGAGGCAACACATGACGACAGAATACACCAACATCACTGATGCCCTGGATACGTTCGAGGCAGAGTACCAGAGGGTTCGATACTCCGCCGGGGAAATCAAGGACAAGTAAGCAGCCCCATGCTACTACTACTACTTCTAGTATAAGCAACACTAAGCGTAAACGGTAGGCAACAGAAGGCCAAGATCATTGACGCTGCCAAATCTAAACGAGATGCGTCTAGTGGTGTTTTGAAAGCGCGACTCAGTGAGCTGTCCCACGTTGGCCAGTTGATAGCTCCGGCGGCACGAGTGCCCCGCAAACAAATTTCAACCGCCGAATACAAGACCACCATGGAGGCGATTCATCGGATATGGGGCGAACGCAAGGCGATGGTGGACCCGCTAACTGCTGATTTAGAGGTACCAACTGGAATAGAATTCGTCACCTGTTAACCGGAACCTTAGGTTGGCAAGTTGTGCAAACGCATTGGCGAAGACGCAAAAGCTCTAAAACATTTCCTCAACGCAGTTCAGCCGTACAAAGCGCAAAAGAATTTGGTCGTGGAGCTCACCGACGACGACTGGACACGCATCAAACACAGCGAGCAGGCCAGGGTACTTACTACCCCTTCGTAGATCGCTTGTAACATGATTCCTCTTGTGGGTACTGTAGATGCGCGAAGCCCATTCGTTGTTGTTTCACATTTACTTGAAGACAACGGACAGAGAAAGCGCTGAAGGTATTCAATAGTCGACGAACGCGATGTCACATTTCCTTGGTCTGTAGCACACATGAGATCGTATTTGGAGCTGTCGACGGTGGGAAGCCAGCGGACCAACGCACTGAAATACCTGGAAAAGTTGTGCATTGAGATTGATGGCATTCTAGTTGATTCAGCATGGCGTGGTAGGTTGCTCTCCAAGTACTGTGGCGTGATGGAAGTCGAACCGTCGAAGAAACTCAACGTGTCAGATTCGATTCTTGTAACCAACAGTTTGGGCAGGTCATGAACACACTCCCGTCCATATATAGTTGTATAGATCCATACTTATTGATGGTGACTTTTATGGCCGAATAGACTTCCAGATTTGCGCCTGGCCATTCTCAAAGAGCTCAACCTCCTGTTTCCAAACGATCCTTGTAAGAACTATTGAAACTGTGGACTACTAACGTACGTGGCAGATTTGCTCGAATCGCTTGGTCTGATGCACGTTCGACTGCGAGACTATGTGACAGCAAGTCAAACCATGGTCCAATACGTGGCACTGCCGCAAGTGTCCACCCTGCCCCTCTTTGCCCAAGTGTTGGAGTATACGCCTCCTCCGCACTTCCGGAGCTTGTCTCAGTGCAACCTCTCCCACTCAGAATAGCATCATACAACATGTGGACAGAAGCACGTATTCGGCGTCGAGTACTTTTTTGTGGGTTCAAATTAGTCGATGGAAATGTTACTGGTATGTGGTTTTATGAACGAGTCATGTCCTCGTTCAGGTTGACACCTAACCTTGGCGACTTGGATCATGTCCTCATCGCCGCGCTAGCAGACGTTGATCATGATCACTTTACCCAGTCCGAGTTGCTTGGGCCGCAGTAGATGGCATGGGACGGGCCTCGAGCCCGGAATGATGTCTTCGATGCGGCACAGCCCTCTAGGGCCTACAGTACGTGGTGGCCCAGAGTTCTTCAAGAATGCGTGGATTTACCATTGTATGTACTCATTGGGGATAGGATGGAGTCCCAGATTACAGGCTAACTAGTTATTAATATGAGCACCACTTTTTTTTACTCAGGAGTTGTTAATAAGAGGTTATCCATAAATGATGCCTTATCCGGTAGTAGCGTGTACTTTCGCACGACCAAACTCACCAAACCACACGTGCCTTCAAGCAGAGTTCCTAAAGGAAAAGTAACTCGTAAGTTGGGCAGGTTATAACAGTAAAGAAAACCCCTGATATGTAAACATTTATGCTACCGGTAGTACTAGTATCCTCTAACGTTAATTCCTTTTCTGAATTGAACTATTTTGCAGAAATTACAGGCTAGCTAAGATGACGCGTCCATTGATTTTGGCGGGTTTTACGCTACTGTATGCCCAGAATCTGCTAACTACACAAAAAGTACTCTAATTTTTCAACAACACTTCCAAAATATCAAGGGTACATTTTCATACGAAAATATTAGTTTAGGTCGTTCATATTGGCTTTTTATTGTCACCTGGTTCCAAGATAATATGACGAAAGCGGTGGGGTGACACGTTGACCATCATGGGGATACTGTCGCAATTGGTGCCGCATGCGCGATCGTTGGAGCAATGGTTGACCAGGTAGGGTCCTCATACACGAGACTATCGGCTGAGTTCGTACGTAGCACGATCGGCTTTGAACCGTGGATGGAAGGAGACAACAACATACAGGCTCACCTCCAACAAACGTTTGTCGCCCGTCGACACACGGCCACGGACGTTGCTGCGACGAGGTATTGCCGAGAGGTGTCCATGACGCAGTCGGACGTCGTGGAAAGCGCCATCAACACGCTCTTGCAACGGAAGCGCTATGGCAAGGACACGTCCACCAACTTGTTGACGCTTGGGTATGGCATGGCCAGCCCGGGGGCGAACAACCACTTCCTTGCCAACGACCTGTCTTGCTACTACCCCAACACGTTGGTTGCGATGCTCAAGTCCAATGAATGGGTGCAGCTCCATCTGCACATCGGTACCGTTCGCTCCCTTCTTCTGGCCTACCTGCCACCCTCTTGACATTCACATTGGCCCAGGGGACGACTTGATGAAGCACATCCTGCTCAACCACAACGTGTTTGTGCTCATGGCTAACACCACCGACTGCTACATCCAGGTATTACCTTCATACGTGTACAAGGTGTGGTCATGTTCGTTTAGCTGGCTGGGGACAACATCCGGTTTGCAAAGACGTCGACGGGTCCTATGGAGAGCTCGGTGTCGATTCGACGAGTCATGTACGCCCGAGGACACAGCAGTCACCCCCCGTCGGTCCAGCTGAAGCACAGCATACTCAGCCCATTGAATCCGTCCAAGGAAGCAGCCCGTCGAGTGGTGGCGACAATCCTACGACTCAACAACGCCAAGCGGCTCGATAAAAGGGGTCAGAATCTCGTGCCCATCGTGCAGGACATGATGAATCGATTCAAAGCATGCGACGTGGGGGGATCTGTCCGTCGAATGTGCGCCCTGCCTGGTGCATGTGTTGCCATCCTCAAGATGTGTCGACTACATCACCAGACGGCGCGGGTCACAGTGGACATGGAGCTGGAAGACGATGGATTTGCCAGTCAGGACGAGAGCACATCAAGTCATCGCAAGAAGCGGTCCAACTTGGCTTCGGAGAATGCCAGCCCAGCCAAACGGAGAAAGCGTCAGAGTAATCAGGAGACCATCGCCGATTTGCTTCAGTTTCACACACCCAAGGAACAGGTAAGTAGGTAGGTGTATATGTACTACATAGGTGCAAGTAAGGAGGGGGGGGATTGGTTGGTTGATGGCTGCTTGATGTATTACTAGGTGTATGAATGTGTTCGATACATTCTCGACACGATTGTGCCCAAGGAAGTATGGGGAAGTAGTGCGAAGAACCACAGGCGATTCCTGCAGCTGCTGCGATGGTACTTGTTCTCGCACATGCACGATGCGTTTGCATTGAAAAAAGTAGGATTCGACTTGTATAAATCTAAACTAGTGCTATATACATATATAATATATATTTCATATATACGTAGACAGTGGATACCATGTCTGTGCATACCATTGCGTGGATGCAGCAACATGCAGGGTCGACATGGTAACCCCCCCCTTCACCTAGTTCCCAACCATTGATCTAGCCCATCCTTAGCGTGCCCTCTGAAGTCCACAAGCGAAGGCGCATCCTGACGTTGCTACTGTCTTGGGTACACAGTGATTCGACCATTTCAAACGACGAGAATTCATGATGCCACAACTTGTAGCTATGGACCGATGTGATTGAGCCCATCCTTCGCCTGCATTTCTACATCACTACATCTGAAGGCCAGTTCAACCGCGTATCGTTTTACCGCCACTGCGTGTGGAATACTGTCGTGTACGGTATCTCATATGCCAAGACTCTTGGTCGATTGATTGATGGTCCTCTGTTGAATGTGTTTCATTTGGTTTTGCTATCATACGTTAAAAATCCCATTGTATTTTTCTAGTTTTTTCACGAAAATAGTCATACATTTTGGCAAGAAATGTCTTCGTTTTTGATGATTTCAACGTAGAACGCTGGGCACCCTCGACTTGGCCCAAGATCACCTGACACGTGTCCCATCCGCCGTGCCGCCCACGACGCCGTTTCCCATCTCCACGATCCGATTCGAGCCCAAGTCCCACGGCGTTCGCCCCATCATGAACTTGTCTAAGAAACCCGTCGGCGGCGGCGTGTCTGTGAACCGGACGCTGCGCCTGGCTCACCACGTGTTACGACACGAGAGTCAGTGGGGATTGGGAGCTTCCGTGGCCAACATGCACGAGATTGGGCGTCGATTTGGGTCGTTTCGTCAAGAATGGATGGCTGGGAACGACGTGCGTCGTCCTCTGTACTTTGTCACAGTTGACATTGAACGATGTTTTGACACGATCAATTCCCGCCGGTTACTCAAAATGCTCCCGCGGGTTCTCACGCAAGACAGGTACATGCTTCGACGGCACTATGTCGTCCAGTCCACCAAGGCCGGGATCAAATACAAGGTACTTCGATCTAATAGTTGCTCTTAAACTGTATCTCATAATTACGCATCTGGTAGTCGTGCACCCCAGTGTTGCTGCCCTCCGACCTCCGGCGTTTTGAGCACCTTGCGTCATCCACTGCCTCAAAGCATTCGGTAAAATAGTTACTTAGATAAAGGTTCCCAAGACTTTTATACATGTATGTAGGTGCACGTGGACGGCGTCGTGTACGATTACATTCAACGGCGAGATCTCATCAAGCTGCTGCAAAGTCATTTGCTGTCCAACTACGTTACCATGGAGTCCGAACTTTTCTTGCAGACACAGGTATTGTGTATTCTACTCAAACTATATTTCCTCCCGCGGTTGATTGAATGAGCAGCCAAACAATCGCAGGACCTGCGAAATATAATGTATATATATGATTTTAAAAGAGAATATTCATTCGTTTTAGCCAATCACATTCCAACCTTCATTATTTTTATCCAATCATACTGCTTTGCTCGATTTCTTGGTGCTTTCCACAATCTCCCAGATTTGACCAATTTCGGCGAATTGCACAATGCGTCCATCGACCACAAATCAAACATATTTACATATACTACGTAATATATATTATATATATATATATATATATATCCATTTGGGATGATATATATGTAGGGAATTCCGCAAGGGTCGGTGCTGTCGTCGCTGCTGTGTAGTATCTACTACGCCGACTTTGAGAAGAATGTGCTGCTGCCCCGCATTCCCATGCAGGTTGGCCAGGATCTGCTGCTGCGGTACACGGACGACTTTCTATTTTTGACGACAAACAAAGCCCACGCCGAGACATTCCAAGCCATCATGCACCGCGGAAGCAAACGGTACGGCTGCCGCGTCAACCCCCGCAAGACCCAAACCAACCTCCTCGTCCGCCATCAACTGCTGCGGTGGTGCGGACTCGTAATCGACCCCACAACGCTTGCTGTGTACTCCAACTATGCCAAATATACTGCACTGCCTCGGTATAGTATATATATATATCTACTCGTGACTACAACCATTTGCATTTCGATTGACCATGTTTTCTACTTGTTTGTATTCTAGCTCGCTCAAGAACACGTTGTATCTTGATACATCACGACCTGTCAGTGCCTGGTTCTTCAAACGCCTGCTTGCTTTGGTGCAGTTCCGATGCCACCACATCTTTTTCTCGCCCAAGTTCCCCGTGGCATGTCAAGTAAGTTCACCCTATCAGTCTCATTGGACGTGATCTGATGTGTATGTAGACGAACATGTACCATATTATAGCAGTCGTAGCTGTGAAATACGTGTACATGATGCTCGGTCTGCCAAGACCCACTATGTACTGGAATATGGCGTTCTTTCATCGGGGATTGGTGATGTTGTGGCAGAAACTGTACGGTCAAATTCGCAAGCATTGCCCCAACGCCCTCACCTGGAGCAAGGTATAAAAATAATCTAGTTATTTCAGAAAATAAAACTCTAAATTAAAGATACTTAACTAATGCTAAATTTATATATATGTCTGTCTTCACATGATATTGTTGCTTTTTGAAGCAGCCATAATTTGGAGTTTTGGGCTGATCCATCGATCGTTGGTTGTTTTGTACTGAATTTTGTATATAAGGAGTGTCGCCCTACACACTACTTTCATTCACAGACTAATGTTGTTGATGAGAGCGTTTGATTGGCCAGTTGACAAGTGCGGTGGGGGTTTTGATTGGTCGATCGATCGAATGTCTGTCAATGTGGTTATTCTACTCGCTCATTCGATTGAGCCCCCCCAGCACTACTTTCGAATCGATTTGACAATATATATATATAGAGGATTGGGTTGACTGTGTATGCTTATGTATCAGGTCAAGTGTATGGGAGTGCACGCCACCTTGAACGCCCTCCACCGCCACAAAGTCGTTTTCTCCGAGCTCGTGTCGCATTTCTCGGCCGATTGGCGATCGATGCAAGTGTCTGACGTCAGTCTGGTCGAGTCATTGACCAGTGCATCGATTAGTTTGTTTATTAACGAGTTGTAAACAACCTCTGCATGTCTGGCGCCTTGGAAACGTCTTTGGGCTCGTTCCCCGCCTTGTTCTTCACCGATTTCAACCCCTCGTGGTGGTCCAGCAGCCACTGAGCGCACTCGAGTCGACCGTATCGCACCGCTTCATGTAGTGGCGTGTTCCCGTCATGGTCTACTACTGCTGGGTCGCTGGACTGGAGAGGAAACAGCTCCAGCACATTTACATGGCCGTGGCGGGCCGCGTAGGCGATGTACGTGCGCCCTAGCCAGTCCCGTGACGTGGCAAGCGGTGGATGCAGCGAGATCAAGCGCTCCACGACAGTCGCGTGGCCCCGCTCGGCTGCTCTGTGAATGGCCGTGGCATGGCCTGGGCCTGGCAACATGAGACTGGCTGGCGATGCCTCGTACAGAGCAAGCAACACCTATATAGAATTACCCAATATATTAAACTGTCCCTATTCCAAACCATAGTTTTTAAGTAGGAGTAGTGGTCTTTGTACCTCGAGATGGCCATACGTGGCTGCAAAATACGCTGGAGACCATCGTTTCGACGACAGTTTACATGGATCGGCGCCCGCTTTCAGCAGCAATCGAACGACTTGGGCGTGGCCGTGGCGGGCCGCCTGCACGAGCGCCGTCTTCTCGTCGACATCTTGTGCATCCACGTCGAGCGCGATTGCCGCCAAGAACGCGACGACTCGGAGTTGGTTGTACCCAGAGGCAAAGTACAGCGCCGTCTTGCCGTGATCATCGGGGGCGTTGATGTCACCTCCTTTATCTGCCACAAACTTTTCAAGCGACGAAATGTCCCCCAGCCACGCCGCTCTCCAAATGTCCAATGGCTCCATGTTCCGACTCACAGTCCACGGCAGATTGCGTGATGACAACGATGTCTGTGGCTTGTTGGCTAGTTGGAGAGCCAACAGCGGAAGGTGATAGGATGAATCACTGCGCTTCTCCAACACCACTAAACTACGAGTCCACGCCGCCGTATCGATGGACGAGTTGTTGTCCATAAAGTGCACGCCAGTCTCAATCACGTCGACAATGCTGAGATTCGAGCCAAGAAGAAGAAGGTCGGTTAGGTATGAAACGAGACTTTGCTTGTGTTTGGATGGACCGCAGACGTAAAAGACCATGCGGCCGCCTGCGACGAGGTGCGGGCTCCATACGCGCACCAGGTGTGCCACGTACTGGTCATCAAAGCGGCTCCCGTCCTCCGACTCGGTCGCTCCGAACGTGCGGATGCCATAGGGCGGATCGGATACGATGGCGTCCACTGTCCATGTCTTCCGCCAACTGGACGCCCGCACGTCACACAACGACAACTCAGGAACTGCAAACCCAAACGCTTCAAAATTGGAGTGCACGGTGCGACCAGGGCCTTCTCCTCGCAACGTCGCTTCGCAAATGTCTTGGCCGAGACCCATGCCTACAGTAGTAGCACATACACACACACAAACAAGTCACCAGTGCGTCGTACAGAGTAAGTAGAATGTACCCATGCCAAAGTACGCGCAGGCCAGCAAGACCCCGCAAGAACCGGCGAATGGATCCAACACAACGTTGCCCTGGACAACTTTAGCCATGTTAGCCATCACCAAGGCCAATTCAGGATCCATGGTCGTGACGCCAGTGAACGGGCGCTGGTTCAACGAAAACGTGGCGGCGATGCCGCCTCCAGTCCGACCGCCGCGGCCGCCGCTGGATGGCGACAGACCGCTGGCCACTAGCAGCCCCAGACTAACGGAGTTGTCCCCGATTAACAGAGACAACGTGTCGGACGTGTCGAACTGCTTGGCCGCCAAGAGCGCCGGCGCGTCCATCGCTGCAAACCGCCCGAGCGCCGCAGCTTTCTCCTTGGGACTACGCAGCCGCGTTCGAACGCTCTTGACTGCAATTTGGGGTGGCGACGAACTGTGGCTGCTTTCGAAACACTTGGGATACGCGTCCTCGAAGTACTTAGCCAAGGGCGACACGTCAGGACGACGTTGGTCGTCGACGATGGTGTGGGCTGACTGCACCAAGACGCTCCTTGAGATCACACTAACGACCGCCTCCTACAGTCCCGTGATGACCAGAGAGAGAGAGAGAGATATTAATGCTTACTTCGCTCTGAAATCGAACTCGAAAGTATCGATCCACGTCGACGGGGTCGTCCAGGATGTCTAGTAGAAGCATCGGCATCACGGACAAACATATGCAGTTCATCAACCTTACCAATGTGCTCGCCATAGATGGACGCTATGGACTTGAGCTCTTGACAAACCAGCTCAACGTGTCTGCCGCCCGCGAGGCACACGACTTCCATTGGCATTATCATTGGCCGACCAAGCTTGATGCACGCATCACATTGCCTCACCACAATAAAGAACCATAACGACCTCAACTACATAATATTTCACCACATGCACCATGCTGCTAGTACTACTAGTACCACACAGTAGTACTATTAATACCATGCTGAATGATCCTCCACATTATGGAATGTCAATCGATGGATTAAGTATTATTTCTGGTGTTCTAGTTCAAATTACAGTATCGACGCCATACTGTTCATTTCCATCTCTAGCGTGTTCAACGTCGTCGAGGTTGCTTGGGACTTCGTTGTTTGACAGCGTTCGAAGGCATCGTGGGGGGGTTGCTGGGTCGCTTTGCCGTCGTTTGGTCGAGGGGTCGCTTGAGGTTGCTGTTGTTACTGGATGATCTTTGCATGTTGGGTTGGTTTCCAGGGGGGGGTTGGCCGCCGCTGCTCCATTGCGCGGGTCGGTTTGCTGGTGGCGGTGCGTCGCCAATCGATCCTCTCTTCATGGGCACGTTCCCTGGGTTGGCTCTGTTCACATGACTGTTGCGACCCCGACCTACGACAGTCGCATGAGGAGGCAACAGAGTCATCGAATTACTGTTGTGTCTATTCCAACCTGGAGCGATATGGAGAATACTGAATGGGAATCGATACAAATTAATGTACAAAAGAATCGGCAGAAGGATTGAGCCAATCTTCGTCAACAAGAGTGTGTGACTTGAATTAGTGTGATAATATTCTCGATTTGATATAAATTTGGGGAGGGGGTGGAATCGAATCGCGCCAACCAAACCGATCCACAATCGATCTGATTGGTTGAATTTCATTGAGAATGTTTTGATTGGCTAATCATTTTGAGCTCGTCTGAGGTAGCCAATCAAATCGATTTAAATTCCAACGAGAAACCACGCCACAACACGAAATTATTCACTCGAAAGCACAATACCAATCACCACAACTTTTTTCTTTTTACATACAAAATTCAGTACAACGAATCGATAGATTCATAGCGATTTAGTAAAAAGTCCACATTTGGGGTACTTTACTACTACTGTACCGTCATCATCATTGTCCTTGCCACCTGCGTCGGCAGGAGACGACGCGGGCTTGACGGGTTCTTCGAGGGGCTTCACTTTTTGCTTTTGAAAGTGAATCGGTTCCTTGTTGGGCTCGTCAAATGCATAATCCCGCGGGTATGGCTCGCACTTGAAGTAATCATGTGCCAGCGCTTCCGTGGCCGTGATGCGATTCTCCGGGTCTACAATGCACACGACTCCTAGTACCCCACCACTCGTACTAGTATAGTACGGACCATAATACAACAGGCGTGCAATCAAGTCGCGAAGCAGCACAGACGAGTGGCCAGTGCCAAACTTGACAGCTTCATGCAGCTTGGACGTGGTGGGGTACTCGCGTTCCTTGGTCATGGCCTGGACATTCGAGTACTCGGGGAGGTTGTCCATACCGGTCCACGTCTGGGGCGTCGGCAGCCCGAGGATTTTGAAGATCTTGTCGCACTGATCCTTTTGAAACGGCGCGTTGTTGTCGTTCACTTCTTGGCCCATAAACAGTTCGCGCGTGTTTAAGATCTACGCACGCGTCGTCACACACATTCACATATCTGTGACACGGTGTGTACCTCTGCAAAGATGCACCCGACGGCCCACATGTCGACCGCTTTGGTGTAATGCTTGGCGCCTAGCAGCAGCTCGGGCGCGCGGTACCACAGGGTCACAACCACGCGCTCCACCTCGGTTAACGCCTTGATCGGGTCCTTGTAAATGCGCGCCAGTCCAAAATCTAATCAAGGACAGTCGTCAGGTTTCGGGTTGGACGGGCGAGGACTACCTGCTAGCTTCACCTGGCCGCGACGCCGCCCGTGCCCGACCACGAGGATGTTTTGAGGCTTCATGTCACGATGCATGACCCAGTTGTCGTGCATGTACTTGACCCCTTTGAGGATTTGATGCATGAACGATTTCTTCGTGTACTCGGTGAGCGGTTTTTGGCGGCTTTGCTTGATGATGTCGTGGAGATCGTGGTCGGCATAGTCGAACACCAGCGCCAATGACGTGGCCTTTGGATCTACGTGCACATCGTGCAGGTGTACGACGTTGTCGTGGTGCATTTCCCGCAAGATCTTGATCTCCCGCACCGTCGCGATGGACAGCACGACTTCATTCTTCCCTTCCTTCTGGGTCTTGATCACCTTGACCGCGAACGTTTGCTCCTCGTCGTCTGGCGTCCGCTCTCGACTGTTGTGGTCTCTGGGAGAGGGAGCAAGAGACTCTGCTTTGTACACTATCCCATACGTCCCTTCTCCAATCTTCCCCAGCAGCCTGTACTTGTCCGACAGGTTCAGTCGCTTCTGCAGCAGTGCCTGGCGCCGCATACCCTAGGCCGCCTGATGATAGTTTCAATTCTGAAGGACCATTGAAATAGTACTACTAGTCGTATGTTTAGTATTACTAACGCCCATCATTCCTCGAAACAAATCTTGGACGAAACATGGACAACGACGAGTTGTTTGGGTATGGCAGCACCGACCATCGGACGAACTTTGACAAGCGCGACGCGGCCGACTCGAAGGACGCCTTGCTTGAATTCTATCGGGCGCGGTGCGATGCGTTCCATCAGGAGCGGAAGGACCTCTTGGAGCGCTTCCATGAGCTCGATGTGTCGAGGGAGTCGTGGCACCGAACTCAATGGCAGAACCAAGTGCACAAGCAGGAAGTACGAGCTGGTCGAAGCATGAAGTACACACTCCTAACATGATGCTAGATTGTGGACCTCAAGGTCGAATTGGCTCGCGTGAAGGACTCGTTGCATGCTGCCGAGGAAACGATCGCTGTGCTTCGAGCCGAGCAGGACTCGTTCAAGGTCCAAGAGGCCGAAGACAGGAAGCGCATCCAGCACTTGCTGCACTTGACCCACCCCACATCCGAAGAAGTGACGTTTTTCAAGGACTGCCGCCCCGGCCACTCGCTGCGATCGCCCGTCGGTGCCCAACCGCATGATGCCGTCGGCACCCATCATCGGTCCAACGTGAGTTTGTCGGAAGAATCCGGCTTCCATCGAGCCATGCATCAGAACGACAAGATGAAGCGCTTGAAGCGGCATGCAGCCACCTGCTCGACGAACGGAGGCGGCAAAGTGGTCAGCTCCCCTCCATCTTCTCATGAGGTCATGATCGTCCAGTGCAGGGGCGAGTCATCCGCACGGTGTATCTGCCTAGCGAACAAGCAGATTCGTTGCTGCTTCGAGTCCAAGTCCTCACTAAGCAGCTCGACGTCAACCGAAAGCTCTCGGACGACCGAATTCAAGTAGTATACCAACAAATATATATGGCCATCGCATGATATTTCATCTATATATATATATATATTTATATATATTAAGATTCTTTTTCATGTAGAGCCTGTTGAACGACTTGGAAATGGTGAGCGTCGAATCCACTCGCCAACGGGACGCCCATCACCTCGAACTGCAAACTGCGCAGACCGATTTTGCCAAAATGCAACGGCTGCTCAACAAATCCACCAAAGGTCCTCCTCCATCATAGCTACTACTAGTAGGAGTACTACTACTACTAGTACTACTAGTATTGATGATGTTCTCTCGCTGTAGATTTCTTGGTGGCTCGGCACGATGCCCTTGCGGCCCAGCGAAGTGCCGAGGAAGAGATGGCGCGGCTTCACTCGCTTCTTCGCGCGGCGGAGGCCGATAAGGAAGCTGTCCAAGTCCAAGCCAAAGCCGAAACCCAAGTACGTTTCCATACATGTATCATAGAGAGATCAATAGACAAGTCTTACCCTAATAAGATGTGTTGAATGGTGGAAGCGAGTATTTGATTGGCCACTTGATTCGTGTGGTGGGTTTTGATTGGTCGATCGAAATTGTCTGCCGATTTAATATTGTGCTTTAACCCCAAATTTGGACTTTTGTGCTGACTGCCAAATCGATTCTCGATCGATTCTTTATACTGACTTTTGTATGTAAAACTGGTCCAGTGTCACACTAATTTCATTCGCATACTAATTCGATGTTGAATTGATCGAAGAGTGTATTTGATTGGCTACGTGATGAGTGTTCTGCGTTTTGATTGGTCGATCTTTGATTGTCTGGCGATTTGATATCCGCGTCCAATGATTTCGAATCGACTTTTAACAATATATCATGTCCTAATTATATATTGCAGTCTATCCGAGAAACCATTCGCGCCGAGGGCAACCTTTGCGCCGAAGAGTTCCGCAAGCAAGCCGTGTCCAGGGAGCGTGACATCCACATCCTCAAGGTAACATCGTGCATTTCGATACGATATATATATATATATATATATCTGTAGGAGCAATACGCGGCCGTCCAGGAAAGCTACAGTGCGCGCATTTCGGATTTGCAGGCGCGGCTGGCCAAGCTGCGCTCCCGGTATAAGGCGCTAGAAGGGCGGCGGAACCTCGAGATGGAGGGCTTCTCCAGGGATATCGCCACACTCAAACGACATGTGGTCAAGCTCGAAAACTTGTGCTACGGCACCAAGCTCACCAACGACGACATTCGACTGCTGCGGATGGGTACAATATATATATATATATATATAGATTATATTTACAATTGCCTCATTTTAGATGAATGGCACACGCTGAATGCACCGGATTTGGAAGCTGAAATTCTGCACCTGCAGGTAATATAGGCACTTTGTAGTATTGTCCTTATTTTACCCAAATTTGGACTTTTGTCCAAATCTATCGATATATCGATTCTTTTGACTTTGTATGTAAGAATCGTCCAGTGTCACACTAATTGAAGTCATACACTAATTCGATGTTGATTTGGAAATTTGATTGGCTACTTGACGAGTGTTTTGGGTTTTGATTGGTCGATATATCGATTGTCTGCCGATTTGGTTATTCTGTTCATTCGATTGAGCACCCAAACCCTCCGATTTCGAATCGACAATAGTAGCAGGGTAGGTAGTACATATATGATTTCGTAGTACTACTATACTATACGAAATGTCGTCGCTAACGTTTTGGAGTAGGACCGGTACCGAGAGTTGGCGACTAATGTTATGCAAGCGAAACGATAGTATCGATATATATATATATATATATTATCGACGGTCTGCAATCGGGGAAATGCACACGACGTCCCATCCTTCGTCCAGGAGGATGTCAATCATGTGGCATATCCGGACGCCGGGGCCTTTAGGAACGTGCACTGCCCGCGGCAACCACCGTTGGCACTTTCATTTCAAGGCCCTACTCTATAACACTATTAGCACTCTACAGTAAATGGTTGTTTCAATAGTACATACTAGTATAACGTTACTGGACAAAAATACAAAAATAATTCAGCTTTGTATTGTGAATTCGCTATGGTGCACGTCATCTATAAACTACCAACTTTTCACAAAAATGTCTGACTTCTATTTCATATTCATTACTCAAAATTTCAGCAAATTGAGACGTAGAATCGACAGATCTCAATGTAATGAGGAAATTCTACGTCTCATATTCAAATTTGGTGTTGAATTGGTCCAGAAATAGATATTTAACCTAGCGGTATTTTACATGGGCGCTTGGATATTTGGCCATAGGGGTGGCCGCTGAGAATTATCTTGATTTTTGTATGTGACTCTTATCCGTATATAATATCCGGAGGCAGTTGGGACCTTTAACCTGCAGTGATAAAACGCATGAAATCGGTATTTAACGTATTTTGTTTTTGGGTTTAACTACATTAATTGTACGTTAAATAATAAAACCTCCACTCCTCGATTTGGCCAGTTGGAAGTTTTTAGATGACGTGCACCATATAAACTTCCAAAATTCGTGCGATTTGTCTAATCAATATTGAATCACTCTCAATGTCTGATTGGTTGAAACTCTCAAGGTCTGATTGGTTGAATACTCTTGTCCTTTCTTTAAGAGCCAATCAAATCTACTCAAAATTCGATTAGCCAATAGCGTCGATTCGTGATTCGATTCGGCGGTGAGATTCGATTCGGTGGGGTCTGGAAACCTGTACCGAATCCATAAATAATAGTACTGTTTGTACATTTAATCATGAGTATTGTAAACATACTATTACTGTACTACAGTAATAGTATGTTTATATAACGTTAAGACGTTTGCATATGAAGCGTTGCGATGCTTAAGCTTAGTGCCATGAGTAACAACGGGCCGATCCTTCTTCGCATGCAGAATGGATTCCGCGAGCGGCGCAACTTGCACGAGAAGTTTTGCGGATTCAAGGGGCCCGATAACGTTGAGGCGAGTGGCTGCGCGAAGTAGGTCGCGAAAGGTCACAAACAGCAAAAGGCGTCGTGATGGCGTTAACACCAAGGGAAGCGCAGACGAAGCCCAGAACGACGACGTGGTGTCCATGCACTTTTGCGCGCTTGATGCGATACAGCACCGACGAGGGGGGAGACGACGCACAAGCGACGCGAAGCATGGCGGATCCTTGAGCGATAGAAGCGCGCGCTGCTACTTGGTTGGTGAGCACGGCATGCGCCAGACTGTCGAGGTGGACGAAGGAATCAAAGCGAAGTGGCGGAAGCGTGGGTCACAAAGACGAGTGGTAGAAGCAAGTTGGCCATTTGATGCAATGACGTGACGAGAAAGCGTGGAGTATGGTGCTGTTGTGCTTGCACAGCGGACTCAGGCCCTACGAAAGAATGCGTGGAGCAGGAACATGTTTGCGATGTCCTACCTGGGAATGCGCAAAGCCACCAGTTGGATACATTGAGTCGATAATACCCACACCAGCCACTCCATCTTGATGAGAAGGAAGCCTTGGATTGATATTTGTTGAAACTGCATTTATGTCCAATCAGCGAATCTGTCATTCCAATGTTGGACATGCGAAATCGCCGACCGCGTGCGGGAACTCCCCCAAATCGTCAGCATCGTCTTGTGTCTTGTCGTTATGATGGGGCTTATGGTGTCAAGAACTTGTCCTTGTGAAGCGAACGGACCGCCAGTGTGGGAAGTGCCATGCACAAGGACCCCCGGAAAAGTACAAGATTCGATAGGGAGGTCTGCAGCAGTAACGACGTCTCGTTCCCTTCAACGACGTGCCCTCCATCGATCACGACCGACTTGAACAAGCGGCGCATTGTCGTGTTGATCTTCCATACCTGGCACTCGACTCCCTGCCACGATAATCAGAAATTTGTTCCACTACTACGGTATATGACTTCAATTGTCAATACAAATGATTTATTGGCATCAATGAAACGGCAAAATGAAGACTAACGTTACTTGTAACGTTAATATGAAATTGCGTTCTTGTTATTACAGTGTGGCGATCTTGAAGCGTCGCGAAAACAATATATATTAATATTAATACCTTTGGCTATATTTTGATTTCTTCAATTGTCCATACAAATGGCATGAGTGACATCAATGAAACGGCAAAAATAATACTAGTACTGCGGAGCAAGACCCATATTACCGCTAAGAACTCAAGCACCATCATGCTACCACCGAAGCCATGAATGCGTCCGCGAATGCAGCTGAAACGCCTGCACACCTGCTGTCAAAACGCGGATCCTCACCGATGGCCAACGCAATCGTATTGCGGTGTAACGCTACTAAAGAAGGCCGAGGTCCGCCGTTTCGCGTAGAAGCAGCCACCTCGCCGACCTCAAGTCGATGTCTTCAACAAACCAGCAGCTTAAACCTCCACTCGAAGCGGCAAGTTCACCCATATAACGAAAAGGAGCGCGAACAAGTGGTTGTCGCCAAGCGTGAAGGCTGCGCCGCTTGATTGGCACGACTCAAACCATTGCCCGTGGAGCATGTGTGGTCGTAGAACACACCCACCAACGTCGACTCCAAGCGGGTCGCCGCTAGTCGCCTGGACGCCATGGTGCATCTCGTGGCTACCAGAGTGGTGCGCGGGAGCGTGAAGCCCATGTTGCACGACAGGCGCGACTTGTTCAAGCACATGCAGCACATATGACTTGGAGCGCAAGCACCAGCACGAATCGAAGCGGGTCCTTGTGGCTCGTCCATTAGTACCTGTGGAGCACCCCGTGGCTACCAGAGGCGTCCCAATCCACGGAATTCCCGTGTCGACACCCGGCACACCTTTGTGTGGAACTTGGGTTCCACGCGAAACCCCAAAACTCGGAGGCGCCGTCCTCGCACTGCCCGCGGTACCCGTCCAACGACAACTGAGCCAAGTGCGCCAAGGAGGACATCCCGATCCTGCTGCGGCTGCCGAAACACACCAACTGGCTCGGCGGGGAAGCCATGCTTGGCCTCGGAGACATTGTCCTCCCCGGGCTTGTCGTCGTGTTTTGCGCCCTATGCCACCCGCGGAAGCGTCGTAGGCACCTATCGCCCCCGCTCGTTTGGCGGGCTCGTCGGCATCTTTGGAGCTGATGTGCGTCGGGTACGTCGTGGGGCTGCTGCTGACCAACGCAGGCTTGATCCTCATGAGGTCGGGCCAGCCGGTGCTCTTGTACTTGGTCCCGTCCAAGTTGGGCGTGCTGGTGGTGGCTCAGTGGCTAACTAACGGACTGCTGAGAAAGTTGTGGGACAGGCCAACCGAATTCAACCAACTCCAGAGGTGGAGTTCCCCTGGAGACTGCCACGACGGCCAGTGCCGTATTCGATTCCCATGGTGGAGGAGAGGGTGCAACGATCGTCCTCCCGACCGTAGAATCCACTGTACTCCCGCGCGCCCAATTTATTATGATACTCGATGAACTCGAATGCTTTGAGTGGAATGTCCTCCTCCAATGCGGGTTCCATGTGATCCCGTGTGCAAACAATAGAATGAGTGAAGCTATTTCTTGCACATACCACCATAGGAATGCGATGCCACATTTCTTGTAATTACGCCAATATTGACCCTTGATACTCGTCGCAGACATTTACTACACCCCGTACTCCTAGTGCCGCCATCTGAGAGATGCGCCTCATGGAAACCACAGGCAGAGCTCCAAGGATGACTGTGTCGTCGTCGATCGCAGTGAAGTAGTTGGTTCGACGCGCGAGATACGTGAACAGTGATCCAACTTGTTCGAGAGGGACATTGGTTGCTGTAGCACGCTTACAGCAGTGATGTCTCTAGCTGCAAATTCTGAGCATATATTCGAAACTTACGCGCCATTTCAGAATCTCGACACCCATACTTAGTACAAATTTCTTTAAAAAGAATAATATTATGTAACGGACAAGTTCTGGACACATACAATTATGTAACGGACAAGTTCTGGACACATACTATTATGTAACGGACAAGTTCTGGACACATACTATTATGTAACGGACAAGTTCTGCTTGAGTGTCGAGTCGATTAACCATAATCGCATCGTTCGTTTTCGCTGCGCACCGCTCACACCATGACCGCCTTCCCCGTCCACGGTACATACGCCGTAGTGATTCAAAGCCAAGGTATCACACACCTGTAGCTATGCCAGTGGATGCCAATACAACGCGAAGTTCTTCGATGAAGCACATCGACAGAGCACAATCCAAAGCAGCCACGCAACCTCACGGCACACATCCACATCAACGTGGTGCACACGAATGTGCGGAT